TTATTTACATGCATTTACTTCCATCTTCCAGGTTTAGTCTTCTTAACAACTTCAGTCAAATACTGTAAATCTAATGCTGACACCATTTTATATTATGGTGAATGAATTTGTATTTAACACATAATGATTTGTAACTAATTAGAAATGGCTGAGGCAAGTTAGCAGTCTTGATATCAAGTTGGTATCTTTTTGTTTGTTACGTTTTTTGTTTTGTTTCTTTCATTGCTTTTTTTTTTTTAAGATTTAGCCTTACTATCATATAACATATTTGAAGTTCTAGATTATTAGTTAGCATCTAAATAACTGGCCACTCATAAGCCTTGTTATAAAGAGGGCATAAAAAGTAAAAGCCAATGGAAACAGAAGATACTAAGTACAACCTGATTGGTGGATTCAGATAACATACCTCCTGAAAGCATAAACAATCATGCAAAACTGAAAAATAAAAATGCAATCACAACAAAAGATCATTCAAACCAAAATTGAAATAAACAAAAACAACAACAAAATCAAATTTACAACATTTAAAACAAATATATAACAGCATAAAGCAAACAAGGACAATACAATATAAATTTTAAATTGAAACTAAAAAATGTAAAGAATATGAAGAATTAAGAATTTGTTGCCATCTCAAGTTTCTTACAAATAGTCATCTTGCTCATCATCTATATGTTTGATGAAAATATAATGTAAAACAAGAGATGTTTGTAACTATGAACATGTATAACCAAATAATAATGAACATAAGAGCAATCAGTGATCACATGTATCATGATAGTCAATTAAACAGTTGAGTTGCCACAATTAGTCTTGGTACTCATCATCCCTGTTAAGCTTGGATGAAATCACACCAGTAGTTTTTGAGGAGTAGTCCAGACATGTTTTCTGGCTGACGACAGATGGACAGACCATGTAGAAGTGATCGCTATAAGTTGTGGCTCACTTTGTAGCATATTTCAGCTACTAAATTGTAGCAGGTGACACGTAAAAATTATTAACAGGCCGAAAATACATTCAACAGAATAGAAAAACCCATATAATATGTGCAAGTACTTGAGGTACCGACTAATCCTGAAAAGTTTCATTCAAACAGCTTTAGTGGCATAATTTAAGAGAAGTACTGTCTGGACAAAAACTTCAAAAATAAAAATAATTCACTCTAAGAAAAATCTTTGAACCTGGAAAATGTTGATAATATGCACAACAAGACTTGGTACTGATCATTCCTGTAAAGTTTGGATGAAGTGGTTTCATTAGTTTTTGATGATTAGTTCCGATAAGATTGTGGCAGATGTACAGACGGACAGAAAGAAGACACAGGAAAGATCTTTGTATGTTTGCGGTAACTCTGTAGCAGGTGACAGAAAAACCATTTATAGTATTGTTGCTTTGACTTCTTATATGTTAAGTTTGTGAAGATCAAGACTGCTAAAATATATGCAAGAATAAGTTGCTTTTCAAGGGTGTTATGGTATAAATGGCACTATACTGGACTAACTCACTGTAGTCCTTCCAGGGATTTACAAAGTGTGCTTCTTGAAGTGATCAAACGCACAATAAGACTTGGTCACTATATATCCTGTTACATCCAATTCAAATAATGGACAGACAAAATGACAAGCTAATTCTAGTATTTGTCTATGGGTCATTTAAAGTTTGCCTATATTGTTTACAACTGAACTCATTTTTTCAAAAAATCTTCTAAAAACTTAAAAATTCAAATAAATTCCTTCTAAAGCAAAAAAGTTAAAACTCTGTAAAATAAAATGTAAGGCAAAACCCAAATAAAAGAAACTGATAGTTGTGTGTAAGCAGTTAAAACAGATCTAGTCTAAAACACAAGCAAGTACCTTCAACATACAAACATACATTGAGAGTTGATATGAAATAAAATTCTTCTACTGATTTGAACAAAAACTACAAAAAGCTTTATAAGGTGCCACAACACATGAAAATTAAACAGTACAATATCAAAGATATTACAGATTGATGGACAAAAATAGCATTTCCTTATTATACAAGAGCAAAGTTGCTAGTTTTATCATTAATAGATAAATTAGTGAAACTAGGACTGGCAATGAAATGAACAGTTTGACTGGTGCATATACAAAGGCATACATAAACTAAAACTGAAATTCAAAATAGTTGGACTAACTTTTTTCAAAGATATGGCTCTGGACAGTTAGATGAACAATACCTTTACAATTTCCCCTTCAAATTTTACAGTTTGGGGATAATTACATGCAACTGCAGTACATACACACACATTGTTTAAGCCACAGTTACAATAAGAGCACTGCAAAGGTTTGGCAATAAATGTCGAAATGCAAATTTATTTAAGTCATTCAAAATAGTCTTTCAATTTATGAAGAGACTCATTCATGAAATGGTCTGAAACATGTTTTATCTTAATTATCTTTCTGATAACTCGATAATTAGTTGTCCTTTGTATTTTTTACAAGTAAGGTATTGTTTTGAAGTAATATGTATTAATTTTAATATTATAACTAATAAGTTTTACAAACCTAATGTCTATGGAAACTCTTGTTCTTGATAAGACTAGTATTTCATACATCACTGTGACCTTACCTTAATGACCTCAAAATAAATAGAGGTCAACTACAGGCCATGGGCAAAGTCCCTAGAAAGTTAATAAACTTTGACTTATTACTTTTCAAAATATTGATAAGACAAGGCATTTACACAAACTGTCACTATGACCTTGATCTTTGACCATATGAACCCAAATTGCTTAGGTTTCATCTACTAGTTATGACCAGCTACACACTATATATTATGACTGCAGGCTTAATTGTTCTCTATTTATGGTCAGACAAGCTTTAAGTGGTTAATGCTTTGGTGACATTGACCTTCCTTAAATTTCATGACTGTTGGTGAAAGTATTCTCTAGTTATTGTTTGGACAATCTTTCAGTTGAGAAAGCTACATTGGCCTTGATCTTGGAACTTCTGAACTCAAAATCAATAGGTGGGGACGTCTACTAGTCATGACTAACCTCCACATCATATCTTAGAACTGTCAGTCAAAGAGTTATCTAGTTACTGGTTGAACAAGCTTTTTGTAATCAATATCACAGTAACCTTTACCTTTGACCTGTTAACCTTAACATTTAAAGTGATCATTTACTGGGCATGGACATTTCACAAGACTAGATTTAATTATTCCTTCTTGAGGTACTCAGTTGTCAAGGATTTTACACTTAGCATCAATGTGACCTTGACCTTTAACGTTTTGATCTCGAAATCAAGAGGGATCATCTACTTCCACCAAGTCTCACAAATCTGCACTTAATTCATTTCTCAATTGAATTAGCAGGATTTTTAATTATTCCTCTGATGTACCAGTTGTAATGATTTCACTTAGCACAATTGACCTCTACCTTTATATAGTCACAAATTAAAATATTTTTACAAGTTAATTTAATCTAAATTGATGTGGATAACAGAAAGACAGACTGAACAAGGCCATATCATAATATGACCATGTGGGACTTGAACCTTGACCTTGATAACCTGCATCCTGTCTGTCCTTCCATGCATTCCCTTTCTGCCAAATAACTTTATTTTCCTTCCATAGTTTTAAAAGATATTGAGGGACATTAAATTTTAAAATTCATACAAAGTTATCATGCGAGCCCTTGAAGGTCAAATCTGCTCTCTGCATATGGTTTTATTATGGTTGACATTGCTGTCTAGTTGTATCAATTTCCTTCCATCAATTCAAAAGGTACAAGGGGATATGCAATTGCAAATGAACTCTGGATGGATATAGAGACAACCAAGTACAAAACAGACACATGTCAACAATGTGCCTATAGGCAGTATTGGGCAGATTCTACATTTCACCAATAACCCATGAATCAGAATGACACTGAGCATTAATCTAAACATTTGTTACAAGTTATTTAATAGTGCTCGGAAAAATTACAGTGTCTACTTTAGGAATGAGCTTCAATAGCAAAAATACTATATTTAGAAACATACATATATAATTATGTATCATTATTTAAAATGTTTATTACCAATACACATAGATACAATATATATACATTTAAATACACCCTTCTCAAATTTATCATCTTTTATTTAAAACAAAACAATCTGAGGTTGCTATTAGGTAAAAATAATATGACTGTCATGCAAATAAAAAAGTCTATATTCAAAATGACCAATGCATGCTCATGCATGACTTTAAAAAATCTATTACATGTACATTGTTTTCATCTTTTCTTCTTCAAAGAAAAAACAAACTAGGCATTGGAAAAAGAAACATGCTGCTGAAGCTATTTTGATGTCCAAGTATAACTGCTGTCAACCTGGCATTTCCCTGTCACAACCCTTCAAAATGTTCAACAAAATTAATTATGCCTAGTTATTTGAAATTCCATCCATGAATGACAAAATTATTGACTGCAAACAACCATCAATGTAATACCATATGATGCTTTTGACATTCAAGTGTGACCTTGACCATTTTAATTGGCTGTCGTTCAGGTTACATACCTATGAATCAAATGTGACCTTGACCTTTGAGCTACAAGCTCAGTGTATCAAACATTTATGCACAATTATTCAAAATCCATCCATGATTGTCATGAACCAGATGGGCATCAACATCAATTCACAATCATATTAAGACTGGATATACAGGTGTGACCTTAACCTTTTACCTGAAGACCGGATTCTTACATTTGTCATCATGTCTTACACATATATGCCAAAATAATTTGAAATCCATCGACAGAATAGTTAACCAGACACAGTCACAATGCACTTTTATGAAACTTAGGGTGATATAAAATTATCAAGAAATCCATACATGCATGAAAATACCCAATGAAATCAAATAGCTACTCTCCAGCTTCAAACTGTACAGTAATGACAATTGTATAAATTACGACTAGCAAAAACAAGACAACAAACAAACCATATTCATTCAATTCTTAAGATTGAAATATAAAAAGGGAGGTAACTTACTGTATCTAAACCAAGAAGCACAAGTAATGGTATGGTAGTCATTCCCCCTCTTTTCCATTCTTCTAATGTAACAGTACCATCCGAGTCATAGTCTATTTCTATCATCATATCTTGTAATATCTGAAACATGTATAATATAGAATTATTTATAACTGATACAATATTTGTGAAGTGGATCTTTTGTTTAGTTTATACAGAATTTAGTTTAATTCGATTGTGTAGCAAGCTATAAGCTTATAGTCTGTTCCTGGAACCAACCAGTACTGAACAATTAGTGTCTGTAAAAGTTTCTTGCTTGAGGAAACAACGGCTTGCCCCTGACAGAGTTTTGAACCCAAATGACTAGCTATCCTTAGATTACAAGCCAGAAGCGTTAGTCACTTGGCCATGCCACCACAATGTTAAAACCTTGTCAACACAATCTTTGAAACATAAAATCTAAACCTGAATAACTATTGAATAAGGTGATTTCTTTAGAGATCTTTTTGAGCATTTGTCTTCAGGAAACAGATGCCTTGAAAAATGATACAAGAATTTGTTACAAAGTTAGCAACATCCCCTGCCAAAGGGGACGTTAACATGAAGCCCAAAAATGTGCTATTTCAAATGATTGAGGTATGAATCTGAACTTCAGGCCGAAATTTTGATAAATGCTAAATCTGTATATGCAACAATAAATTCATCATGGAAATATAATGAAATAACTCTTGTGTATGTGTCAATAGGAATACATTTGAGCAGTTTTTATCACTGAAAATAAGTACATACAGGGAGATAACTTAAAAGTTATTTAAGATGATTCAATACGCTGTTATCTATTTATAAGTTTCACAAGAATCTTTTAAAAAACTTTTAGAGTTATTCTCTGGGCAAGGAAATACAGACCGTGTTAAGCTTTGACCTTAACGTTGCTAGTAGGGGTCTGAGTGTTTTGTATAACACATTGTCTTTATTTTTTATGGTGAATATTTGTGAAAACTTATTTCAAAATTCTTTGATAAATGGAAAAGTTGTGGACTGTACACAAAAAGGCCCTATAAGAGTTAAGCTTTGACCTTGGAGGTAGGGGTCTGTGTGTTGCACATGACACAACTTATTGTGAGCATAAGTGCCAAGTTAATTCAAAATCCCTTGATGGATGAAAAAATTATGGATCAGACACATATTATACCCTCCATAAGACAAAATTGACCTTTGATCTCAAAGTGTGACCTTGATCTTGGAGTTAGAGGTCTGTGTATTGCACATGAAATAACTTATAATGATAAACATAAGTGCCAAGTTATTTCAAAATCCCTTGATGGGGATGAAAAAATAATGGACCAGACATGAAACATACTGTCCATCAGACAATGTTGACCTTTGATTTCCAAGTGTGACCTTGGAAGTAGGGGTAAGGGTGTTCCACATGACATAATATTATCTTATTATGCAAAGTTATTTCAAAATAATCTCTTGATGGATGAATAACTTACTGAGCGGGCACAAAATATACCCTAGATAAAAAAAGAAATTGCAAATGTGTCCATAGGACACAGATGCCCCAACATATTACTACTGTAAGATTGCATGACAGCTGGACAGATGGATCAAAATGGTGATACATTAATCAATGCTAACTGTAGACTGTTATCATAAATTGTGGAAATTCAAGATTAGTACTATTACATAAAATAGTACCCCCCACCACCCCACCAACCTCTATAATCTCAAAATGCTGCAATTAACTGACTTCTAACATAAGTTTATAAAGCAGGTTTGATGTAAATGGGGAGAAATTATCCAAGTAATGATTGCAGTATTTACACAACAAGTTATGATTTACATTCATTGCTTAATCAAGTATGTGGGGAATTTCTAAATTGAATTTTCCAATTTACACCACAGCCTTTAGGGGCAGAACCTTATTAATATTCTATAACTGTATGACAAGAATTCCCTATAGAAAAACATTATTGTTACAACTAAAGGACACTATTTCACCAAGTATATGTCATAAATAGAGTAAATCTCTTGGTAACCAAGTGTCTTTCACCAATAGAGGCTATATCTTCAACAAATTACACCAGTAAACAAGTATCAGTGGCACCAAATCTCTATATAAAGTATGCTATAAAACCAAATAATCTATAACAAATAGAAGAAACCATTCTAATGAATATGTCATTGATAGAGAACAATCTCTTCCTAAATATTTGCCAGTAACCAAGTATCTGTCATCAATAGAGGAAACCTATTTATTGAATGTTGCCAATAACCAAGTATCTGTCATCAATAAAGGAAGCCTATCTATTGAATGTTGCCAATAACTAAGTATCTGTCATCAATAGAGGACAATCTCTTCCTAAATATTTGCCAGTAACCAAGTATCTGTCATCAATAGAGAACAATCTCTTCCTAAATATTTGCCAGTAACCAAGTATCTGTCATCAATAGAGGAAACTATCAATTGAATGTTGCCAATAACCAAATATCTGTCATCAATAGAGGACAATCTATTCTATCCCACAAAATTTGCCAGTTATCAAGTATCTGTCATCAGAAGAGGACAATCTCTTCCTAAATATCTGCCAATAACCCAAGTATCTGCCATCAATAGAAGACAATCTCTTAATAAATATTTGCCAGTAACTAAGTATCTGTCATCAATAGAAGACAATCTCTTCATAAATATTTGCCAGTAACCAAGTATCTGTCATCAATAGAGGACAATCTCTTCCTAAATATTTGCCAATAACCAAGTATCTGTCATCAATAGAGGACAATCTCTTCCTAAATATTTGCCAGTAACCAAGTATCTGTCATCAATAGAGGACAATCTATTCTATTCCCAAAATTTGCCAGTAACCAAGTATCTGTCATCAGAAGAAGACAATCTCTTCCTTAATATCTGCCAATAACCAAAGTATCTGTCATCAATAGAGGACAATCTCTGCCTAAATATTTGCCAGTAACCAAGTATCTGTCATCAATAGAAGACAATCTCTTCATAAATATTTGCCAGTAACCAAGTATCTGTCATCAATAGAGGACAATCTCTTCCTAAATATTTGCCAGTATCCAAGTATCTGTCATCAATAGAGAAAACCTATTTATTGAATGTTGCCAATAACCAAGTATCTGTCATCAATAAAGGAAGCCTATCTATTGAATGTTGCCAATAACTAAGTATCTGTCATCAATATAGGACAATCTCTTCCTAAATATTTGCCAGTAACCAAGTATCCATCATCAATAGAAGACAATCTCTTCCTTAATATTTGCCAATAACCAAGTATCTGTCATCAATAGAGGAAACCTATCAATTGAATATTGCCAATAACCAAGTATCTGTCATCAATAGAGGACAATCTCTTCCTAAATATTTGCCAGTAACAAAGTATCTGTCATCAATAGAGGAAATCTATCAATTGAATATTGCCAATAACCAAGTATCTGTCATCAATAGAAGACAATCTCTTCCTAAATATTTGCCAGTAACCAAGTATCTGTCATCAATAGAGGAAACCTATCAATTGAATATTGCCAACAATCTCTTCCTTAATTTTTGCCAGTAACCAAGTATCTGTCATCAATAGAGAAAACCTATTTATTGAATGTTGCCAATAACCAAGTATCTGTATTCTGTCATCAATAGAGGACAATCTCTTCCTAAATATTTGCCAGTATCCAAATATCCGTCATCAATAGAAGAAAATCTCTACCTAAATATTTGCCAGTAACCAAGTATCTGTCATCAATAGAGGACAATCTCTTCCTAAATATTTGCCAGTAACCAAGTATCTGTCATCAATAGGTAAAACCTATCTATTGAATGTTGCCAATAACCAAGTATCTGTCATCAATAAAGGAAGCCTATCTATTGAATGTTGCCAATTACTAAGTATCTGTCATCAATAGAGGACAATCTCTTTCACAAACTGAATGGTTGAAGAGGAGATGTCACTTAAATCTTATTTCTATTTTTAATTCTGGTGGCTACTGTGTTTAGTAGACCAGAACAACTTACTTCAGCAAATGTTCTGAAAGACAAAGTAATGATCATTCTTGTACCATTTTATCACAATGACATTGAAAACTGACATGACACCAGGTTACTTCACCTGCTCATCTTGAACATTTGGTTCTGGTGTGGTAAAGAATGCAAGCATTTTATCTTCTCAATATCAGAAACAGAGAGTCTGAAACAGGGAGATGACATAGAGCCTGAAATAGGGAGATGACATAGAGCCTGAAATAGGGAGATAACAGAGTCTGAAATAGGGAGATGACATAGAGCCTGAAATAGGGAGATGACATAGAGCCTGAAACAGGGAGATGACATAGAGCCTGAAATAGGGAGATGACATAGAGCCTGAAATAGGGAGATGACATAGAGCCTGAAATAGGGAGATGACATAGAGCCTGAAATAGGGAGAATGACACAGAGCCTGAAACAGGGAGATGACATAAAGCCTGAAATAGGGAGATGACATAGAGCCTGATACAGGGAGATGACATAAAGCCTGAAATAGGGAGATGACAGAGAGCCTGGAACAGGGAGATGACATAGAGCCTGAAATAGGGAGATGACAGAGAGTCTGAAATAGGGAGATGACATACAGCCTGAAGTAGGGAGATGACACAAAGCCTGAAATAGGGAGATGACAAAGAGCCTGAAATAGGGAGATGACATAGAGCCTGATACAGGGAGATGATTTTGTTTGTTTGTTTGTTTGTTTCATTTTACAGGGAGATGACATAAAGCCTGAAATAGTGAACTAGGGAGATGACATAGAGCCTGAAATAGGGAGATGACAGAGCCTGAAACAGGGAGATGACATAGAGCCTGAAATAGGGAGATGACATAGAGCCTGATACAGGGAGATGACATAAAGCCTGAAATAGGGAGATGACAGAGAGTCTGAAATAGGGAGATGACATACAGCCTGAAGTAGGGAGATGACACAGAGCCTGAAATAGGGAGATGACAAAGAGCCTGAAATAGGGAGATGACATAGAGCCTGATACAGGGAGATGACATAAAGTCTGAAATAGTGAACTAGGGAGATGACATAGAGCCTGAAATAGGGAGATGACATAGAGCCTGAAACAGGGAGATGACATAAAACCTGAAATAGTGAACTAGGGAGATGACATAAAGCCAGAAATAGGGAGATGACTAGAGCCTGAAACAGGGAGATGACATAGAGCCTGAAATAGGGAGATGACATAGAGCCTGATACAGGAAGATGACATAAAGCCTGAAATAGTGAACTAGGGAGATGACATAGAGCCTGAAATAGGGAGATGACAGAGCCTGAAACAGGGAGATGACATAGAGCCTGAAATAGGGAGATGACACAGAGCCTGAAACAAGCAAATGTAAGCAATAATGCCAATACATGTATATGAAGAAAAAAAATGTTAACAAACACTAATACGATAGGCATAAAATACTAAGGCAATATAGTTTGATTAAAAATGGCTTTACATTTCTCTAATTTCGTGTTTAAATCAGGGACAACAGATATTAATCTAATGTCCCTATCTAAATCTCCTGACAGTTAAATAAATGAACTACTAGCACTAGTAAAAGTTTGTTATTCTGATATTTTGTTGTTTTATGTCTGACAAAATAAGTTTGTAGAATAAATCAATTAGAGTAAAGACAAACATATTTTGTTCTTGTCCAAGCTTTTTACTTCTGTTTTGAATTTACAAACACATCTAAAAGGTCATACATTATCTATACCTGAAAGTAGATATGTAAGCTCTATTGAAATATTTTTTTAATACAAAAGCTAGGTATTACATAAATTTAAAACTGGCAGATACTTATTTAGCTCATATTGCCAATATAGTCTCCCCTTCCCTATAGGCTGTCAATATTATAAGCTGAGCTGATTGCGTAGCATTTTTCTTTGCAACACACCTTCAGTAATTCCTGGCTAGAACCCTATACCTGTAGGTAATGTCTGGCCTTTCAAACCCTATTGACTTTTGAGTGTCACACTGCCTTATTTTATAACAAAAAATATGTAAAAAAAATTGTTGATGATGACTTTGAAGAGGAGGCTAGCCGGGACCTACATCTCATGCAGAATAAAGCTTACAAACTTTTACTAGATCTTATATGATTTATCTATTGGTGATTTTTTTTCAATAAATTTGAAGATATCTGATGCTATTGTTTTCTTATCTTCAGATACATACACTCAAAATGCATTTAAATAGAATAAGAAACATTTTTTTATGTTTTACAATGAGGACTACCTAGATTTGCCAAGGACTACCTGATCCTCAAAGTAGGTAGTCCTTCTGACTACCCCTAAAAAAAGTTAGTGTCAAGCCCTGCATTGAGTCTGAAGTAGTTACAGCACTACAACAACAGCTAACATGACCTAGTGGTATGTTAAATCATAATTAAGTTGTTGATGAAAATATGTGTTATACAATATCTTACAGCAGTAAAAAAACAGAATATGTGGGCGAGGGTGAAATACTGTAACTATCAACTTTCCCATGCATACAACCATAATTTTGTTATAGCAAGTAGGCATTATGTTAATGTGATACTTTAAATACCATTTCCCTGTATCTAAAATACATACAATACAACTAGTTAAAGAAACTAAATATTTTCATTGTTAACTTTTGTATTTTATTTCCTACATTAAACCCGGATTTAAAGGTCAAACATTTAAGGTAACCACAGTGCATTAACCTACTGACATGCTGTGTGGGAGGAGAAGGAAAATAATTTGTTTAAAAGATCATCACAACATAAAAATATACAACATTATTTCCTTTTATCTGACATGATTTTTTTACTGATCAGTCATCATCTTGGTTTGACATGCTTTTAAACATTAAGAAAATCAAATTGTTAAAGGTAACTGCTAAATAATAATAGGAAAAGAAAATGCCTTTGAGATGTAATGATGGCCGCAGATCACTTAAGGGTCCCTTGACACACTATGTTTATTTACCCAAGGCAAATTATTTCTGCAAAACTTGTTGCAGAGGTCATTAAGGCAATGTTTCTTGTTAAATATCTATGGTATATTTGATGGTGGAGATATTCATCACTAGATCATCACTTCATCATCAAAGTGAATCACTTGCTGCACATCACATATAAAATGTGAACAGTTCCTGTGGCAAATGATAAAACAAACACTTTAAAAGTAATAGCTCAACAAGTGACACTAATTGTCACAAAACCAGGTTTACCACCAATGATAACTGCTGCAATCCCTTCAGAATTGTTCAATACCTTGTGCATAGAAAAGTTATTCCTCTATTATACATGTATATGAAAACATAACCAACAGCAATAACTTAACAAGAGCTGTCAGCAGGACAGCATGCTCTACTATTCTCAGTGTTTGATAGTCAAACAAGAGCCTAGAAAATGTAGAAATTTATGAGTTCGAAAAAGGCCATTAATTCTGTCCACATCCATGTTAGAGCCATAAGCGATGGAAAGTGGCCTCCTATTATGCTCTCAATTAAGTGTGTTTAGTGAGTTTCAACCCATTCCCCTAATTAGTTTTGAAGATACCATCCTGCATGCAAAAACACAAGTGTGACGCTGATGAATGGTTGAGTACAAATTTAGCTCTCTTCATTCTTTGAACAGTCAAGCTAAAAATGTGATGGCTGTCAATAGTTTTGTGAATATTTGATTGAAATCCCGGAAGAAATGAAGACAGATGCACACAGAAGAGAGTAGATGATATACACAAATACCATCAGACTCAAATTAAGTATGAGAAAATAACTCACTGGTTTGAGCTCTGAAACATCCCAGCCGAGGTATTCTGCGACAGACATCATCTGATTGACTATACAATCAAGCTCCTGAAAATATACAGTCATTACAACATGTATCATGTCACAATTCACTTTTATCAATTCTTTTACAGTACTTATTTTAGCACTTCTTAAAACCTGAAAAATCTGACCAATAGATTTGCCAAACTTTGACTTTGGAACTTTCCATTCTATATCAAAATACTAAAATTAAGGTAACCAATAATATAGAGCCTGATCACACTTGACAGATGTGCAGACTGGCCTGGCCCTATAAGGTGGCAAGGACACACCAATTTTGGTTGCAGCAAGTTAAGGGTTAACATTTCCAAACTCTGGTATTATCTTTTATACGATTATCAATTTTTCACAGATTACTCTTGCATATTTTTTTATCTGCAATGAAAAGTTATGTTTATAACCTAGTTCATTAGACTACAATTCATTACTGAGAAATTAAATATATTATATACATATAAAACAATTTGAATTAGTGATCAGTAAAATTAGAAACATAGAGTAAGATTGACAAAAGGGGAATCAGAAAACATCACTGAAACTACAGTAGTACACAGTTACAAAGTTTTAACTACTGAATATTTATGATGTCTAATATACATGAATGACAAGGTCATCATCAATTAGGTACAAATAGTAACATAGAAACCAGTTTAAAAACATCATCAGCCTGTGTTGAAAATGCTTTATGTTTTCAGGTTAAATCTTAGTCACATATACCTGCTGAGTATTTTAATACTGTCAAACTTAAAATGTCTGCAATTTACACAGTAACTGACACAGTTTTGTAATGGACAATTCATTAATTAATTCATTTATTTATAAGAATGTTCTTCATGATGTCTTTATCTTTTAGTTCACCCATGCAAAAGGTTTCAGATTTAGTTAGGTTTCTGACCAGTAGTTCAAGTAAAACATTAACAGTGCATTAATAAAACATCCAATTATTCTTACACATCTCACACATCTCTTGAGTTAGAAATCATCAGTTTCATTTTTATTTTTCTCATGTACAAAATGTAATAAACTTTTACCACAGCAAATGATTTTATCTATTTTGTAAGATCAACTTCTGCTCGTGATTTTTTAAAATAAAGTTTACAAAGAAAGAAGTTATCAGGGTGACACCTTGACCTTTGACCTAGAAATCTGGTTCATGTGCATGACACAACTCCTCATACTGGTGAACATTTCTAGGATCCTTCCATGCATGTAGGAGATATGCTCTGGGCATTTTTCCCTTTCATGATATTTACATTACACAAATCAACCCTGTGTTTATATATCCAGCAAATATCAGCAATTTGGGACTATATATCAATCTTAAATTTTGATGTTTAATGTTAGTCTTTCTATGGATAGGTACCAAGGACATATACCTTATGATATCATTAATATGCTGATTTATGGAAGGACAACAAAATTTCCTTTTATTCATTATTTGTATTAAATTCCAAGGACCTTAAAATTAATATCATAATATGCTGAGTTCAGTTTGGCACCAAAGGGACATAATCTTATGTATCCATTTTTAATTATCTTTTTATGAGTTTAGGTTAAACAAGGACATATCCCTTAATGAATTTCATGTATATGCTTATTAAAATTCAAACTTAAAAAGGACATAACCCTTGATATCATGTTTTTTACTGCCCTGAGTTTTTTGGAAAGGTACCAAAACATTTCTTATTATATTTTTGAAAAAAATGTTTTATTATGATAGAAACAAGAAAGACAATCATGTAATATGCAAAGGGAATTATTTTATGAAAATAATGAAATTGCTTTATTAACCAAAAATAAAAAACTGTAAATGATACTTTAATATTCATTATTCCTAGTCAATACTAATATAATACATATCGTATTTTTCATACAAGGTTATAAATCCAAAAGCTTCCTCACACTGTTAACAAAATGTTTAAGCATTACAACTTTTTCGTGTTCTCTAAGGAAAGTAATTATCATGATGGATCTAAATAAGTACCAAAATAGATATTGACTATGTGAGAGTGTATGAAGGTAATGAGAAGAATGAAGGTATAGTTGACACTGGTATAAAGGTTACACTGTACTTACTGATGAGTCTAGTAGTCCATTACCATCAGCATCATAAAGGCGAAACATAACTGAAAATAAATTATAAGGTGCTATACATACATGGGTAAAATGTGATTATTCAAAATAAAGAGGGATAACTCAATCTGCCACTATATATGAAAGGTGTTCATAATACAGTCAAACTCTCACTTCCACTGAACAATGCTCATTTTCCCAGAAAAACATAGTGAAATCTTTTATAATATTTTGTAATATTGCAACTAAATGTTTTTAATATTTTTTTTTCCTTTGTTACATTAAGTCATATTTTTTAGGAACATTACAAAAACTATGAAATTAAAACTTAATTGGCCTTTTTACTCCAAAGAATGGAAAAACATGAAATAGAATATTTTCATTCTAAACACATACCAGCATATGGAGAAGACCTGGTCAACTGAATCATTTAAAGTGAAGGAAAAATATCAACAGATGTCAGTGTGTGCCATAAATCAGAAAACAAGATAATAGCCCATACTGACATTTCTCCATATGTCCTTTAGTCAGGGCTTGCATTAAGTTGCAAAATTGGAAGTCAGAGATTATAAAATGTCTGACATTGGAAGTCACATTATATAAGAAAAGAAAGAAAAGCATAATAGTTTGGAAGTCAAAAGCCTAGATAACTCCCAAACTTCCATTTATGGAAGCCCTGATAGTTGTACAATACATTCTTATTTTCAAAGACATCTTCACTTAAACTTTTGAGTTCACTATCAGTGCTATAAAGAGTTTGACTGTACCAAACAATGAATTGATATCTTCTATTCAGGAGGACCTATACAGCTTATATATTGCTCACCTGATACTTTTACCTGTAGTAAATCTATACATAACTGATCAGGGTCAGACAGGTAATTTTAATATACAGATCAGGGTCAGACAAATTATTTCATACAGATCAGGGTCAAAAAGGTGATTTCAATACAGATCAGGGTCAAAAAGGTGATTTCAATACAGATCGGGGTCAGATAGGTGAAACCAATACTAATCAGCATCTGACAGGTGATTAAAACACTAATCAGGGTTAGACAGGTGATTAAAATACTGATCATCATCAGACAGATGATAATAATACTGATCAGGGTTAGACAGGTGATTTAAAAACTGATCAGCATCAAACAGGTGATTATAATACTGATCAGGTCAAGCAAGTGTTTACAATAATAATCAGCATCAGACAGATGATTAAAAGTCTGTTTTGTGTCACATGGGTGATTACTAGACTGTTCAGCTTCAAACAGATAATTAAAACACTGTACAATGGACCTTTTTAGTTTTAGCAGTGAAAACTTTAGCCCCATGCTAGGTTGTTTACAGTATCAAAAACAAAACAATGTAGTTTTTGTGTAATTTAGGTCAACCAGGAACTTTGTATTATCCCAGTTTAGCTATTGGATAGCCTGTCAGCCTATTTGCATAAAAGTGTGAATACTGGAAAGGTCCATGTCTGGTAGTTAATTACAATACTATACAGGTTCTTACAATACAGATTAGGGTCAGACAGGTTATTGCAAGACTGGTCAGCATAACACACATATAACAATACTGATCAGGATGAGACAGGTGATAACAATACCAATCAGGAGAAGACAGGTGATAAATAAATGTTCAGCAATTTTGACAGGAAAATTCGGAAGCCAAAGCCCAGCGGGCCGCGGAGGCTTCCTTTTTGGCTTGCCCGGGATTAACTTTCACTGGTAAATTTAAAAGAAAATCAAATTAAAAAACAATTTAAAAAATACTATTAGAATTCATACTACATCAAATTAAATTTCAGGTGTTTAGGGGTTCTATTAGGGCCGATTACAATTAATCAAAATGATTTAAAAAACTATTCCGGTAACGGAACAAAATTAACTTTCGCGATTAAAATAATTAAAACGGGGATTTCCTAAAACAAATGGGTTTTTAAAAAAACCAAAAAACACCTTTAAAACGGGGAAAAAGGGAAAGGAAATTTTTAAAAGACTTTCCCCCTTCCCCTAGGCTTTGCCTAATTTCCCTTTTTATCTGGAACAGTGCAATGCCAGACAGGGGGAAACAATACATTTTGTTTCAGGTAGGGAATTAAAAAATAATATTTTAGGGCAATCCCGGCGATTTTAAAGTTTCTTTATCTAGGTCAGACATGGATTACAATACTGATCAAAATTTGATAGGCGATTTTAAAAATTTTTTCAAAGTTAGACAGGTTTATTTCAATACTTATCATTGCAGACAGTAATTACAATAATATTTTCCCCGGGGCCAAAAAAAGTGATTACCAAAACTGATCAGGGCAAAAAAGGGGGATTACAATACTGATCAGGGTCAGGGCATGTGATTACAAATACTGATCCCGGGTCAAACAAGGGGATAATTAAAACTTTATCCGGGGGCCCAAAAATGTTTATTATTAATACTATCGGGTCAAAAAGGTGATTACAATATATCAGGGCAAAACAGGTGATTTTCCCAAAACGGAAAACCGGGTTTAAAAAAGGATTACAATACTATCAGGGTCCCAAAAAGGGTTTAGGGTCAGACAAGTTTATTACCCCAAAAACTATTCAGGGGGCAAACCCGGTTTATTACAATACTGTTTTAAGGGGCAGGGCAGGTTTAGGGTCAGGGCCCAAATGATTTCCAATTTCTAACAGGGGGCAAACAGGTGGGTTCAAAACTGTTTAGTGTCAAAAAAAAGGTTTATTTCAATACTATTCAGGGTTTTAAACAGGTTTATTAAAAATACTGATCAGGGTTTAGACAGGTTCAGGGTCAGACAAGTGATTACAATACTAATCAGGGTCAAACAGGTGATTACAATACTGTTCAGTGTCAAACAGGTGATTATTACACTGATCATGTTCAGACAAGTTATTTCAATACTGATCTTGTTAGGACAGGAGATTACAATATTTATCAGTATCAAACTAATGATTACAATACTGATCAAGGTTAGACAGGTGATTAAAAAAAAACTGATAACAATATTCCTTTTAACGCATTACAATAACAGATACTAGAATATATGTTGTAAATATGTTGTAAACATGATATCAGGGATTTTTTTGCCTTATTTTATAGCCAATATTCGGTCATATTCCCAATTGAAAATAGTATATTATTTTCCCAATCCACAGAAAAATTACCAAATGAAAGTTACAAAATAAAAATATTGAATAACAAATTCTAAAATCTTGGAAAGTAAGGGCTTCTTCACTGTTTTGGTGTTTAAAAGTTTGAAGATGCCTTCCTAGACAATTATTCTTTGCATTCATTTAATCACTGCAAAATTTAAGTCATGCAATTTTTCCCAAATTTTAACAAAACATCGCTGAAATTCCTAATTCCATGGGTATGGGTCATGTTCCCAAAATCCTGGAAAAAAAACCCTGGATATGTTAAGATTTTTAAGTGAATAAAGCTATGAATCTGTCTGCAATCATGACACGTTTGTAGGTGCTTGTTAACAATTGCATTGAGAATAAAAATGTTTGTAAATTTCTAATAAAATGGGAGGCACATGAACAAAAATCACAGCTAAACATTTCAGTTTTGCTTGCCGCTTGAAAAGTCTTATTCTCATTACCATAGCCACCAGATTTAAAGGACAACAAGCAATTTTTCATGGAATCTGATAAAATCATTCCACAATATCATTGTTAACATACATAATAAATCATTATAATGTTACAATAGTACAGCATTGTAAAGCTGGAGATACAAGATATGTTTGTAAAACATATAGGCTCTCCATGGGGTGTTGAGTTATTGGTTTTGGCATATAAGGTCAATGTGACCGTGACCTTTGAGCCATTGACCCAAACATCAAGAAGTGTCATGAAGTGCCGAACACCAGTGCTTCTATGAAGTTGGAGGACTAATAACTTGTCAAATTATCATCTTCAGGCCAAGACAATGCACCTGTGAGGTTGGGGGCCAGGAGCCCATGAGTTGTTGAGTTATTGGTTGAGAACCATTTTTACATACTTGACCTTTAACTCAAAAGTCAATAGGGGTCATCTACTGACCAAGACCAATGCATCTGTAAAAAGCCCATGGGTTGTCTAGTTATTGTTTGGAAACTATTTTGATATAAATGGTCTATGTGACTTGACCTTCGACCCAAAAATCAATAGGGGTCATCTACTTGCAAAGACAAAAGCACCTGAAAATTTTGGTCAAAAAGAGACCATTATTGCTTTGTTGTCCCCCTGGGCCTTTGCTTAAAAGGAAATAATTTTTAATGAAAAATAGCATTGGTACTTTAGGGCAGTGCAGTTTTTTTTGTGATTCGTCATTTATTATCTTTTGTGGAGCCATAAAAAGAAATGTTTTTTAAAATTGTAGAAAACTATGTACTCTGCTATATAAAACACAATATAAAGGGGGCTATGTATCAGGTAAACTAAAAATGTATGTTTTTGAGAAAAAATTTTTTACACACTTTTGTTTAAATTATTCAATTTTTAAAAAATTTTCTTTATGTTTTTTAGCTTCGTTTAAAATTATCAAAAAAAACCCAGTTGTAAAATTTTTTTGTGGGTTCAATTTAGCCTGTGTTATAAATTAAAAAGTATTTAATTTGAAATGATGCCCCCCCAGGTGACTTGATACCCTTCCTTTAATGGGTCTGTGGAAGAGTCAAAAAATGTGCACCTGTAAATTTTGGGGGTTATAGGGAAGGACTTAAAAATAGGGTAAAGTTGAAAGTTTTGTGACAAAGGCCCTCCGAAGTATAAAGAGCATAAAAATGAATTGTAATGTTAGGGGGGGTGGAAAAATAAATGCCCCAAGTAAGAAGTTTTCTGTAAGTCAACTTATATAACCCCTATTACAGCTTTGACAACATTTTATAATATAAAACCCAAACAAAACTTTACACCATAATTCTTTTTTATCTAAAACCCAATAAAAACCCGTTGCATAACCAATCTACTTTGAAAAAAAGGTGTTTTTTTTTATTTTTTGTAGGAAAAAAATTTTTGTTTTTGAATTTGGTAAAATCGGAAAAATTTGAAATCCGGGTTTATTTTATATTTTCTGGTGCCAAATTTTTTCCTTCCATCTGAAAATTTTTAATTTGACATATTTTTTTTTGTCTTTTTTTGGGGCAAATGCCATTAAAAAGAAGCTGATTG